CACTGCTGCGCATGGGGCCTGCCCCAGGGGTGGTTTGTATACCCAGTGAGACTCCATTGAGAAAACTAGTTTTTCCTTTGCAAGCAGTTATCAATTAGAGATAACTTCTGGGTTAGGCGTGTGGGGTTGTGTTTACTTCCCTCCCAGTATTCACCCCTAGTCTGGCTTAGACCTGTGCAGACACTGGGCATACTGCCACAGTCTCTGTGAGTTCAAACCCCAGGGCACAGGTTGGGAGGATGTTGCAAGTTGCCCTTGAATCCTGGTTCTAGATAGACCCAAGTTTAATCCCTTCTCCTGGAACTCAGAGCTTGGGAATGCTTCTGTCTGATTCTCGCCAACATCACACCCCAGACCAACTTCCTTCCCTTTTTATTCCACAAAGTATGGAGACAAACTGCCCAGCCTCTGAGCTCACTGTGACACACTGAATGCCCATGAGAGGTAATAACGGTTTGATGGTAGGAACTCAAGTAGAGAGGTCATGGGGTGGGCAAAGAAGAAATAGGTTTTGAAGAATTAATAGGAGTTTGCTGAGTAGGTAAGGTGGGGAGGATGTCACAGTAGACGGAACAGCTTTGTGCAAAGTCGTGACATGAAGTGTTGGCTGCAAGAGTCTGATAAGGACTGAAGCGCACTGTGGCTGGGTAGTAAGTCGGGAAGAGGAAGTGGGTGCGGGAGGGGGAACAGGAGGTACGCAGAAGGAGGAGCCGTGAGAGTCCCTGGTAGCTCTACATGGGTTGTAGGTAGAGGTCCTGGGTCTGTTAATAAGGGCATTGTCACTCAGAGTGAACATGGATAGTGGCTCAAGCTCCCGGGCTCAGAGAGCCTGTCCCCACATTCTGAGTTCAGAATGGCTATCCTTAAGCAGAAAAAACAGCTGGGACAGCTGTGTGGTGATTGGCTGTAAAGGAAGTGACTGAGGCAGGGTGCTTTATGAATGAGTGAATGAGTGAATGAATGAATGAATGAGGCATTTCGAGGTGAGCAGCTGCTGAATTAGGCCATGTTCTGAGAACAGGGAAGAAAGGTCGGCATTTTGGGGAGGTGGGGGGTGACTCCTTGATCCTGAAACTCAGCCTATTGACAGATGGGAGAGGAGACAGTCTGGAGCATCAGAGCCTCAGGTAGAGACACAAAGACTCTGACTTTGCCCTGACTTCTCTTCCAGTTTCCCGCCCGGACCCCAGGCATGGCGATGGCAGTAGCCCAGAAGTTCAGCCACCTGCTGTCCAGCCTGTGGCATGTGGGCCAGAAGCCTCTGCAACCAGAACCGGTGTTTACAGTGGACCGGGCCGAGGTGCCGCCGCTCTTCTGGAAGCCGTACATCTATGCTGGCTACCGGCCGCTGCATCAGAACTGGTGTTTCTACTTCCGCACGCTGTTCCAGCAGCACAACGAGGCTGTGAACGTGTGGACCCACCTCCTGGCGGCCCTGGCCCTGCTGCTGCGGCTGATCGTCTTGGTGGGGAGTGTGGACTTCTGGGAAGACCCTCACGCGCAGCCCCTCTTCATCATCGTCCTGGCCTCCTTCACCTACCTCTCCTTCAGTGCCCTGGCTCACCTCCTGCAGGCCAAATCAGAGTTCTGGCATTACAGCTTCTTCTTCTTGGACTATGTGGGTGTGGCCGTGTACCAGTTTGGCAGTGCCCTGGCACACTTCTACTATGCCATAGAGCCGTCCTGGCACGACAAGGTGCAGGCTATTTTCCTGCCCATGGCTGCCTTCCTGGCCTGGCTTTCCTGCGCTGGCTCCTGCTACAACAAGTACAGCCAGAAGCCAGGCCTGCTGGGGCGCACTTTCCAGGAGGCGCCCTCAGCGCTGGCCTATGCGCTGGACATCAGCCCCGTGGTGCACCGCATCATAGTGTCTCCCCTCCCTGCGGAGGAGGACCCCGCTCTTCTCTATCACAAGTGCCAGGTGGTTTTCTTTCTTCTCGCTGCAGCGTTTTTCTCCACGGTTATGCCTGAGAGTTGGTTCCCCGGCAGCTGCCACATCTTTGGGCAGGGACACCAAGTTTTTCATGTGTTTTTGGTGCTGTGCACTCTGGCCCAGCTAGAGGCTGTGACGCTGGACTACCAGGCCCGGAGGGACATCTACGAGCCTCTGCACTCCCGCTGGCCCCACAACTTCTCTGGTCTCTTCCTGCTCACCGTGGCCAGCAGCATCCTCACTGCTCTGCTCCTCAGCCAGCTGGTGCGGCGCAAACTCCATCAGAAAACCAAGTGAAAGTGGGTGGGCGGGAGCTGGCAGGGTGAGAGAAGGTGCTAGGGACGAGAAAACCTGGACTTGACTCCAGATGGGAACAAGGCCTAGTAAAGTTGATTATATCTGGCAGGCCGTGACTCCCTGCATACAAGCTCAATGGCCAAAGTGGTGCTAGCCAATCCTTGGACCTGGGGATTGCCTGGGAGCTGCAGAGCCTTGGTCAATTCCCTGCCGTGGGAGGGGAAGACATGAGGGACCCCTGACGGCCCCTCCCTTGCCTCCTTTCAGAGTTGAGGGTTGAGGTTCAGCTTTGGTCAGCACCCCAGCTTGGGGTTTCCAGGTTGTTGGGTGAGAGAGAGGTAAGACTCAGGCCAGTGTTAAATTTGAGCAGAGAGGGAGGGGAAGTCTTAGCAGCCACCACCTACCAGAGCTCACTGGTGGAGGGAAAAGAAACAGGCCAAAAGATGGGCAGTACAGTATTAGCTTTACTGTGCCCTGCACCACAGCCTGGATCACTGGGTTCCAGAGAGTTCCCAAAGACAAAAGATACCCTCCACTACCCGTATCCCTGCCTCACAGCCCAGCCAGCCAGCCTCACGTCTAGCATTGGCCTGTATTTCTTGCACACTGATTCTAGCTTCTCCCCACAACTCATTTACGGTTTTGAGCTATGTCTCCTTAGCTCACTGTTTCCTGGGGCTCCAGGCTTTAGAAGCATTAGGAATTGTCAAGGGAAGTTCAAAAGCCAGACTAGGCAGCACTGCCAGGGCACTCAGAGCCTTGGGCTAGGAAGGGTGAGAAGGAGTCTGCAGGCTGAGCTTCCAAGGGCTTTGGAGTCAGACAAAGGGGACTCCTGTACCAAGGTTCGAGAAGTAGAGATGCAGGGAGTTCATGAGGGGCTAGAGGCAAGTTTGGCCCCTGGGGCTGGAGGCAAGGCTGGTCCCTGATAGGCCCTAGATTCAATAAAATGACTTTGAAATAGCTTCTTCTGTGGTTTGACTCCTGTTTCAGGGAGGGGCCCTGTTCTCAGGAGGTGGATTTTTTGTTTTGTTGTTGGCTTTTTGTTTGTTTGTTTGTTTGTTGTTTTTTGTTTTTGTTTTGCAAGAAGCTGCAGGGTGCTGAGGGAGTGGATGTGGAGCCAGAGGGAATTCATTTTTACCCAAGGGGTTGGGAATGCAGTGTGTGTGTGTGTGTGTGTGTGTGTGTGTAATTATATTCATAGTTGGCATTTTGAGGGATTAAAGAGCGTCCAGGTTTGCCAGCCTGGGAAACAGAGACCCTGTCTGGAAGTAAAGAAAGGACTGGGAATATAGCTCAAGTAGAGTCTTTTCACAAGACCTCTCTTTCAGTCTCCAGTACTGCAAATGAATAAGTAAGTGAATAGGACATATCCCTCCACTGATAACATATCTGAGGGTCTTCCTGTAATACATATGAAATTCATATATAAAATCATACATATGAAAGAAATATACAGCTAGGGCTGGAGTGGTGGCTCAGTGGTTAGGAGTGTGTACTGCCCTTCCAGGAGATCTGAGTTTGATTTCCAGCACACATGGTGGGTGGCTCACAATCTCCTGTGTCTAAACTTTCTTTTAGTTCTGCTTTGAACTGACAGAAATCTGCCTGCTTCTGCCCCTCAAGTGCTTGTACTAACAGCCTTCCGTGGATACTAGACAAGCACTCTAACAAATGAAGCTACAGCCTCATCCCTTGATTCCAATTTTGTTTGTTTTGTTTTTTTAGACAAGGTTTTTCTGTGTGTGTAGTCTTGGCTGTCCTGGAACTTGCTCTGTAGATCAGGCTTGTCTTGTAACTCACAGAAATCCACCGGCCTCTGCTGGGATTAAAGGCCTGTGGCACCACCACCCAGTTCTTTGATTCCATTTTTATGCTTTCAAACCTTCACGTGGTGGCTCAGTTACTTTTACATGCCAATTAGTGGCAACCTCAAGCATCAGGTAACCACCAGGTCAGCCAGAAGCAAGAGGACTTTGAGTGGGGTCTAGAGTCTAGCTCCTCTGTTCCCTTGTAGGAGGGGAGGCTCTGAAGTAAAACAGTGCAATCAGAGACTGGAGAGATGGCTCAGCAGTTAAGAGCACTGCTTACTCTTGCAGAGGACCCTGGTTTGATTCCTAGTTCCTATATGGTGAGTCAGAAGAACCTATAACTCTAGCTCCATTCTCGGGATCCGACTCTTCTGCCCTCCATATATACCCACGGTCATGCGTGCAAGCCTACAAACACCCCCCCCAACATAATTCTTAAAAATTATATACAATATATTTACATAAATATACATCCACATATATGATATATTATACACTCACATATAGAATATATGAATATATTTTATTTTATATATATTCTATACATAATTATATAATATAAATTATGTGAATACATATTCTATATATTTATAATATATAGGATATATATATAAAAGTGCAGTCTTTTTTTTTGTTTGTTTTTTTGTTTTGTTTTTCAAGACAGGGTTTCTCTGTGTAGCCCTGGCTGTCCTGGAACTCACTCTGTAGACCAGGCTGGCCTCGAACTCAGAAATCCACCTGTCTCTGCCTCCCAAGTGCTGGGAATAAAGGCGTGCGCCACCACTGCCCTGCCTAAAAGTGCCGTCTTTGTCAAACCAAACTTGGTAGTGACCTACACATGGAAAAGGTGCAGAGTCCACACAGGAATGAATAGCAAAGCGGGAAGAGGTGACCAGCTCCCGGGAAACGCCCGGCTTCCTTAGCGTACTGGGCGTGGTTAGAGGCGTGGCCTACGTCATGACGGACGGGTGGAATCCCGCCTCCCGCAGTGGCGGGAGATCTGAACGCGGGTCAACACTAACGGCGGCTGCAGAGGCGCGCGGTTCGCGGCCGCCATGAGACGTAGAGGGCCGGAGGAGGAGGCGTGTGGTGTGTGGTTGGACGCGGCGGCGCTGAAGCGGCGGAAGGTGCAGGTGGGACGCCAATTTTGAGGCGATACGCGGGCTTTGGGGACTCCTGGCGGGAGGGGGTCGGCACAGAGGGAGGACGGCTTCCGGGCGACTGGCTGCACGAAGCCTTAAACTGGCGCCTAAGTCGTCCTGTGGCATGCTGGGAGAGGCTCAGCCACTGGTCACCCACAGGGTGTCTTCTACCCAGCTTGCTAGAACCAGCAACATCGAAAATGCAGAACGGGGATCTGGCCCAACGTTAAATGAGCATCCCTGGGGTGCTGGAGACTAATGGGCGTTTAGTATTCATTGGTTGTGTCATTACTTTTTTTTTTTTTAAACCAGTGAAAGAGGTTTGAGTAGTCCAGGTTCACCCAGTTCGCTCATTACCGACAAGTGTGAGATAATTGCTTGTTTAGCATTTTATGCTGGCCTTTGTGTTTAGGATTTCAGGTAATATTACTTTGTTTGGTTCAGCGATATGGTAGTATCAGTCCAATTACCTAGGCGGAACGTGGTAGGTCTCCATAAGTAGTTTCAAGAGAAATGTGGATTTTGGAGTTTAGAAAGATTACTATTGATTTGAGACTATTTAAGCAGCTTGAACGGAACAGGTGGAGATGTGAGATTTAAATAGTTGGATGAGCGGACTAAAGACCAGCTGTTAGCCATTTTTTTGCTGATGAAAAATTGGAGATTCTTATTTTTGTTTTCTTTTGAGCCAGGGTTTTTCTATTCTGGAACTCACTGTATAGAGCTGGCTGTCCTTGAGCTCACAGATAACGCCTGCTCCTGCCTCCCAAGTCCTAGGATAAGTGTGTGCAACCACACCCAACTTGAAAAATTGAGGATTCTCTCTTTTTTTGTTTTTTTTTTTTTTGGGGGGGGGTTTCGAGACAGGGTTTCTCTATGTAGCCCTGGCTGTCCTGGAACTCACTCTGTAGACCAGGCTGGCCTCGAACTCAGAAATCTGCCTGCCTCTGCCTCCCAAGTGCTGGGACTAAAGGCGTATGCCACTACCGCCCGGCTAAAATTGAGGATTCTTAAAGTCATCTTACAACTGAAGTAATTTTCTCCCTCAGAGACAGGGTTTCTCTGTGTAGTCCTGGCTGTCCTGGAACTCAGAGATCCACTTGTTTCTGCTTCCCAACTGCTGGGATTAAAGGCCACCATTGCCTGGCTGAAGTAATTTTTTGAGGGTAACAAATTTTCACTTTTTTTTTTCCTCTTAAGAACATTTTTGGAATAGGTAATATATTGATGTGTTCTGTAATGTAAACATTTACTCTATGAGACATACTCCTGGCTTTGCCTATCTGTGTGTGTGTGTGTGTGTGTGTGCGTGTGTGAATGCATCTTTTTCTTACTTACAAATAGTTGCATGCTATACATTGTTTAGCAATTTGTGTGTGTGTTTAGATTTTTAAAATTATTTTAAGTGTGTGTGTGTGTGAGTGATACGTACCTCAGAGGTCAGAGGTGAGAATACTCCTGGAGCTGGGGTTCAAGTAGTTGTAAGCCACCTGATATGGGTGCTGGGAATCGAACTCAGGTCCTCAGGAAGAGTAGTATGTACTCTTAACCACTAAGCTATCTCTCCAGGCCATCCCCACCGGCCCCTGGATGTCTGTATGGATGACTTTGGAGGGGAGCTGTAGTTGCTCGCAGTTGTGAGCTGTCTGATGTGAGTGTTGGGATCTGAACTTGGCTCCTCTAGAAGAGCAGCAAGCCGCCCTAACCACTGAGCCATGTCTCCAGCCTGAAGCTTGGGTTCTTCTTGCCTCGTGATTCATGTTTTCACAGAGCTGCCTTCGTGCCTTTGTAACGTCACATGTGTAGAATGTCGTTCGTCGTATGCAGTAATGTTGCTGTAGTCGGCTCAGGCTGCCGTAACAAAATACCCTAGACTAGATGGCTTAAACAGCAGGCCTAGGTTTCTTAGGTCTGAGGACTGCCAGTCTCGAGATCAGAGTGTCATCATAGTCCCGTTTTGGCGAGGATTCTCCTGGCTTGCAAACAATGTGCTTAGGTGGCGTTGTGGTGTCTGACTGTGTGGGTGCCTGTGTGGTGGAGGAGAAGCAGCAGGCTCTCTAGTGTCATCAGAGGCTTCCTCAACCTCAGCTAATATTAATTCCCTCCCAAGTCTCCCTCCCAATACCATCTCACTGGGAGTTAATGTTTTAGTATATGAACTCCATGTAACCACAGATCAGTCCATAGCAGAGGGTGTGTGTGTCTGTCTCCCTGTCTGTCTGTCTGTCTGTCTGTCTGCATCAGTAGTACCTGATGAAAAGTTGTCTTCCATCTTTTGCTATTTAAAAAGCAGCTTCTGAGCTAGGTTTGCTGGCATGGGACTCAGAAGCTGGAGGCAGTTGGATTCCATGTTTGAGACCATCTTGGTATGGCTGAGTTCCAGGTCAGCTGGGGTATACAGGGAGACTGCCTTGGGTGTCTGTGTGGGGGTGGGGGTGGGGAACAGCAACAAAATCACCACAAAACCCAAAAGCCATTTCTGTGATGAAGGTGGCACAACCTTTTCCTGTACCTCACCATATTCCTCTGTTCTTTGGTATCCTATGTGATATGTATGGCTGGTTTCATTTGTTTTCTTTCTGTGTACCCCAGCTTGGCCTGGAGTTCACTATGTAGACCAGGCTGGCCTTTGAACATTCCTTGATCCTCCTGCTGAGATAAGAGGGCATATGTAATATTTAAAGAAAACAATAAATGCTAGCTTTTCTCTGGGTGCTGGGAGCCTCCGAGAGCAGATTACAGTGGTTTGTGGACTAGAATGATAGCACAAGTCAAACAAACAACCTTTGGCTTATGATTGGGATCTATCTAAAGGGGATAGCATTCTTAAGAACCGCCTCTTAACCTGTGGGGGCAGACATCTGTGAGGAGTGGTGTCACAGTGAATTGAATCAGAGGACATTTAACTGGTTTTTGCTGCCTGGATTGTTTGCTAGGCTGTGAGGAAAAAAAATCCACACCCCTAGCGTCGAGTGTGTATTTTCCTGCTAGATTCTCATAAAACACTTCAAATACCAGACAAGAGCACTACAGTGTCTAGCAGAGTATAGAAGCCTGCCTCTTCTAGAGTAGCCATCAGAGAGACACAGCATAGCTACTGGCCAGTGCTTTGGAAAACCTGTCTTTCCCTTGGTCCTTGAATAAAACTGTTATTTTGGAGAGAATGGGGGTGGCGTATAGTTTGACCTATATTTAGAGTGAGTTATGTCTTATCTGCTCTCACGGCCACAAGCATGCAGCACTGGCCTCACTACATAGATTTTAGACAGTGGATAGTGCATTTTTTCTTTTTTTTCTTATTTATTTATTTATTTATTTGTTTGTTTTGGTTTTTGGTTTTGGTTTTTTGAGACAAGGTTTCTCTGTGTAGCCCTGGCTGCCCTGGAACTCATTATGTAGATCAGGCTGCCCTGGAACTCATTATGTAGATCAGGCTGCCCTGGAACTCATTATGTCGATTAGGCTGGCATGTCCCAAGTATTTGAATTCAAGGTGCGTGCCACCCGAAGGGCAGGACTTATTTTTAGTTCTGTATGGGTGTGCATGTCTGTGTTGGAGTATGTGCACACGAATGCAGGTGTCTATAGAGGCCAGAGATCCTTTGGGCGGAGTCAAAGGCAGCTGTGAACCTATCTATATAGCTGTTCTGGTTCTCTCGACGACAAGCGCGCTCAACTACTGCGTCATCTTTACAGCCCTTACTAAGACAGGGTCTGAGCCAGGCAGTGGTGGTGCATGCCTATAATCCCAGTACTTGGGAGGCAGAGGATATCTGAGTTCAAGCCCAGCCTGGTCTACAGGCTGAGTTCCAGGACAGTCAGGGCTACACAGAGAAACCCTGTCTTGAACCCTCCCCCCGCCCCCACCCCTCCAAAAAGAAAAGAAAAAAAGAAAAGAAAAGGGGTCTTGTGCATTGCAGGTTGTCCTTGAGCTCACATGTAGTCAAGGAGGACTTGAACTTCTGATCTCCCAGCTCTGAGTTCTGGGGGCTGGAGTTTAGGCTTGTGTCATTATGCCTGATGTTATAAGGTTCAGAGATATATGAATGCCAGATGAGCACTCTACCAACTGAAGTACACCCGAGCCCTGAAGTTTTACTTTATAGAGAAGAATCGTAGAAACTAATGATACCACTACACTGAGGAGCAGGGAGCGGAGAGCACGCAACGCAGTACTAAAGATGCCTCTCGCATCCTGGGGGAGCAGGGCAGTGTGGAAACTCACCACGCTCGGCAGTGACAAATTACAACTTCACCTGTCTATGTCTGTAACTTCCACTACTGTGTTAGACTTGAGTTACTGTAGGAACTGAAACAACACAAAGCAGAACCTTGAGTAAAGGGGGTGCTTTCCTTACACTCGGGGTTAAACCTTCCACGTAAGACCCCCAAGTTCTATGGCTGTTTGAAAAGACTAATTTTTATAACTTTGAATTTTTATCTTTTAGCTATGCTTCCTGTAACATTGAAAAATCTGCCACTGCCCCCTTGCCCCAGTACTGGGGATTGAATCTAGGGCTTGGCACATGCCAGGCAAGCTAGCTACCACTAAACTACTCTCCCTGACTTTTAAATCTTTTTTACTTCTTATGTCCATGTGCACACATGAGCACACGGGTGTGCATGTGCAGGTGTCCTTGAGAGCCCTTAGGAAAGAGTATTTTTCCCACACGTTAGGGAGATGGCACAAATTTAAGGTGATTAATGTTTGCCATCTTCATTGTGTTACATTTAATGTCATTATGATTAAGGAAGGGGCATGCCCAGGAGCATACCAGAAACCCTGGCTGAGTCATCGCTGGGTTCTAGGCCAGTGAGGTGGGAGTCTGGCTGCTGTCCTGACCCTCAGCCGCCTTAGCAGCATTGCCAGCACAGTCTCTGCTGGGCTTCCAGCTATATTTAGAATTCCTCCCTCCATTCTTCCGCCTTCCCAGCCCATCAGTTTGTCCTTGGGTTGAACATAAGGCCTCCCTGTATCTAAGCCTCTTGCAGGGTATTCAAGTCCTCTACCACCTCCATATCCTCAGCTCTGTCTCCCCTCAGACCCCTCAGATCTCACTATGTTCCCAAACTCACAATCCTCCAGTCTCAGCTTCCCATGTTCTGGGGTTATGAGAGTGCTTCAATGCCTAGTCTAGAGTCGTGTATCTTGCTGTGTCTCCCACATGGGCCAGGATAACCCTTTGCTCAGTTAAACTGAATCTGTCTCCTCATTGGACATAAATCTGCTCTCTCACTGCTTGGCCTCACCAACCCTTCAGGTCCTTCAGCCTGGTGCTTTAGCATGTCTCTGCTCCAAAAGTGAGTTGAATAGAGTCATGTGCTCCATTCTGCGCTTGCTCAGATCCCAGTTTTATCAGTGAGTTCTTCCTTAGCCACCATAAAATAGAAGCCTTTGTCCCTGCCCCACACACTCTGTCACCATCTTTCCCTTTAATCTTTCACCGTAGCATGGTCTGTATTTAACCTGTCCCTCTTGATGTACTTCAGTAGACTGAAAGGCCACAGGAGTCTTTAACAGTTGTACTCAGTACACAGTTATCTGCCGAGTGAACAGCTGGGCCAGCTTTGCTGTCTCTGCTACTGCAGTGCCTTATTCTTCCGCTCTGAGGGACGAGTGGGAGGACTTTGAGCTTTTTTGGGTAAAAATAGGCTGGAGCTCTCCAGGAAAGTGACTGCTGACGTGTTTAGCACTCCTTCTTGCTGATACTACCTCCTTTTTTTTTTGGTTTGGTTTTTCGAGACAGGGTTTCTCTGTGTAGTCCTGGCTGTCCTGGAACTCACTCTGTAGACCAGTCTAGCCTTGAACTCTTGAACTCAGAAATCCGCCTGTCTCTGCCTCCCAAGTGCTGGGATTAAAGGCGTGCGCCACCACCGCCCGGCCTACCTCCTTTTTAATAGAGAAGGAAACTTAGTTCACTACCTGGAAAGACATAACAGTAATGGAGTCTAAGACGACAGCAGCACTTGGGGGATGTACACCTGTGGCCTGGCAAAGACTGTCATCCAGTCTTAGCCTTTATGTCATCCTGGCATCCATTTTAGTCAGAAGTTACATTTTCTCATGCCAGAAGCAGAGGTCATTGACTATATAAGTTTCCAAGTTTGTACCCTAATTTAGAACCCCACAGTTCCTTGGTGTGGTCAGACCAGTTACCTGTGGTATAGCTAGATGCAGCCTGGCTGCAGCTTTGCTTATCTTCCTACCAGACAATGACTGGGCACTAACTCTATGACATCCTAGAACTCAGATCTGTTTGCCATAACCCACCAATTGAAACTCTTCAAGGCAAACTTGTTTGGATAATGTCCTGGACTCATGGAAAAGGCATTGGCCCAGTGGTTTCTTCTCTGTTCTCCTGCCTTGGGATTATAGTCATGCACCCCTATAACCAACAAGGAACCCCCCGTCCCACCGTGCAGGCTGACCTCTAGCTTACTGAGTGGTTTGTTTGTTTGCATTTCAGTATCTTGCATATATAGATACTCAAATATCATTCACAATATTTCACACATTTAACATGTGCTTCCATAAAATTGAAAACCCAGATGCCAGCGTGGGCTTCTTACAACGTGTTGGGTAGGTTCCAAGAGTGAGTATTTCTAGGGAACAAGGCAGAAGTGCTTTGCATTTTAGTTTTGGGATTCAGATTATGGGTCAAGATAGTCACAGGATTTTTCCCGGATTCAAATTCAAGGTGACGCAATAAGGACTTCTCTGTTTCACAGAAAAATGTAACGGTCACATTAGCAGGAGAACATGGGACATGGAAACTCAGGATTGTTTGTCTTACCTGGGTTATGGGAACTCCCATGTCTTGGCTCACAGAAGTGTGAGCTCTGGGGATCACTCAGCCTGCAGTTCCAGCTGGCCGGTTCCACTGTTCACGGTTCGCCTAATGGAAGTGTAGCTCTGAGCAGTAGACTAACGGGGTCTCTGCAGGTGTCTGGAAGTCATCTCGGAATGACAAATCTACCTGGGATCTCCAAGTCCCAGTCTTCATATTGGTGGGCCAGTGGTGGCACAGGCCTTTAATCCCAGCACTCAGGAGGCAGAGGCAGGTGGATCTCTCTGAGTTCGAGGCCAGCCTGGTCTACAGAGTGAGTTCCAGGACAGCCAGGGCTACCTACACAGAGAAACCCTGTCTCGAAAAACCAAAAAGAAAAGAAAAGCAATTAAGCCCTGCAGTGCTCACCTTGGTGCATGCTAACCTGGAAAGTGCTTCCAAGCAGCAGGCGGGGAAGCCTGCCACGGTTTCCTTGTCTCTGCTCCCAGTGCTTCACTGCCTGCTGTTCATGGTATTTTGGGTTTTTGTAAGGTTGGGTATTTCTGTTTTTTAAGTTTAACTTTTATGTTTCTGAATGTTTGCTAGCATGTATGTCTGTGTACCACATGTATGCCTGGTGCTGGTAAAGGCCAGAAGACATTGGATCCCCTGGAACTGAGGCTACAGATGGTAGTGACTGCTTGTGTGCAGGTCCCCTGGAATAACAGCTAGTGCTCTCTCCAGCTGGGCTATCTCCCCAGTCTGCACTGCCCCTGTGTTTAAATGTTTGGTTTGTGTGTAGCCCTGGTTGGCCTAGAACTTGCTATATAGACCAGTCTGACCTTGAATTTGGAGAGGTCCACCTGCCTCTGCCTTTCCAGTGCTGGGATTAGAAATATATGTGCCTTTAAATGTACAATCTTGTTTTAACTACTTGAAGTACAACAGGGTTTCCAAATGTACAACTGAAGTCAGCTCCTGCCCAGAACTAGTCGTTTGGTGTCTAGTGTGTACATGTAGTCTAAGCACTTGGGAGGTGGAGGCCAGAGGGCCACAAATTCACGGACAGCTGGGTCCACATCATGAAACCTGTCTTAAAAGCAGCAAAAACAAAGACAATAACAACAGTCTACAACTCCAGTTCCAGGAGATCTGGTGCCCTCTTCCAGCCTCTGAGGGCACCAGACTTGCACTCAGTCCACAGACACACGTGTAGGCAAACACTTTTACTCATGAAATAAAAATAAACAAACTGACAACAAATACAGCATGAAGGAAAACGGAACCGTGTTCACGGCGAGTTCCGAGTGGAGCCTTGTGCACCGCTATGAAATCAGCGTGGACCTTTCTCTCTAAAAGGGAAAAATAGAACAAGCACATGGCCCAGGCCTTCTACTCCTGGCATATGCCCAAAGGACTTACAACCTGCTGCCAGAGATACTTGCTCATCCGTGTTTACTGCCACTCTATCCCAACACCAAGGAGATGGAATCAATCTGGATGTCCATCAACAGATGAACTGAATGGATAAAGAAAACGTGGTATACATACATCGTGTTCAACCCTAAAGAAAATGAAATCACGCAGTTTGCAAGAAAATGGATGGAATTCGGCTTACAGTTTAAGGGATAGTCCATGTGGTGATGAAGTCCTGGTAGCGGCTGAGGGCAGTTGCTCACATTGTGTCTGCAGTTAGTAAGCAGAGACTGAGGGCTGGCGGCTCCTCCTTTCTGCATGGTGCTGCTTACTTGAAGAGTGAGCCTTTCCACCTCAGTTAAGACAGCCCTGAGCAGGCAAGGCCAGAGGCTAACCTCATGTAGATAACCCCTGGTGTGTCCAGAGGCCCGTCTCCTAGGTTCTGTTAACTCCTGTCACATTGACAGTATTAATGACCACGGTTAAGACAACCATTTTCATGATATCAGTCAATGAACATGGGAGATCTTTTCATCTTCTAGTGTCTTCAGTTTCTCTGAGTGTTTTATTAAAGCTTCCATTGTAATTGTAGAGATCTTTCACTTATTTGGTTAAGTTTATCCAAAGGTATTCTATCTTATTATTTGAGGTAATTTTGAATGTGATTTCTTCCTTGGCATGTTTGTTATTGATATATAGGAAGGCTACAGATGTGTGTAAGCGAATATATCTTTTCACCTTGCTGAAAGTGTGTATCAGTTTAGAGTTTTCGGGTAGTGTGTAGGGTCTCTGTCTATAATAATTTTATTTACAAATAGAGGTGCTTTGATTTTCGTATTTGTAACTCTTCCGTTTGCTTCTCTTATTGTTCCAGCTAAGACTGCTAGCACTGGTTAAGAATAGAGAAAGTAGACACCTTGACTTGTTCCTGGTTTTGGTGGAGATTTTTCTTATGTAACATGTTGCCTTTATATTTATTATCTTTCTTCTGTCCTGGGTTACTTTGGCACTTTGACCATAGAGGGATGTTGAATGATTTGAACCTAACCCCTGTGGTTCTGTGGCCGTGTTCTTAACCGCTAAGTGCATATTTGAAAATTATCAGAGGTGTATTGATTGCTAGTGCAGAATTAAATATTTCTAAATCTAAAGGAGAGGGCCACATCTTTGCATTCTTTGATTCATACTGTTTGGTCAGCCTTACTGAGAACTCTTGGATGTTGGAAAGACTGGGCTGAAGGAAAGATCCTCACGACGGCAGGAAGCAGAGGGAGATGATGTCCAGTACCAGCCAGCTTCCTAGAGAATGGGTTATGAGTTGGGCCCACAGGGTAGAGCTAGTATGCCTCCAAAAATCACTGCTGGTTGGTAGTGACGGGTTTCATTATTTTTCTCCCTCAGACACATTTAATCAAACTAGGCACCAAAATGCTGACATTGCTTCCTGGAGAGAGGAGACCTAACGTTGCTTTTACTCAAAGAAGAGGCACTCGGCAGACCAGTATCACATCCTTTGTCACCTTACAACCAGGTATGGTACCCACTGGAAACGCGTCAGTGTCTGAGGAGCAGAACAAGTGTGTTCACTGCTCCGTGATGGAATCTTTATGAGCTGAACATGTTGCTTTGGAGAAGCTAGATATTATACATACATTTATGTATGTATTTGCTGGGTCTCTTCTGCTCCATCTAATTTTAAATATTTGTATTCACTGATAGAGCAGTGAGGAAGGGCACACGTGAAAGCTGTCTCAGAGCAGGCAGAGCACACAGAGCCAGTTAGGGGAATACTGGGAATGAGTACTCCCACCCTCGGTGCCACTCAGGATAGCTGTGTAAACTGAGCGTGCACTGTTCTCCTCCAAACAAAACATAAACACTTCTGTCTTACATAACAAGGGAAGCTCCCTCTCCTCCACTTTCCTAAAAAACAGTCCCCATTTTCAAAATCTGGTGTATGTTATATACTCTATGTTGAATTCTTAAGAAAAATTGAAGATTCTCACAAAATAGTTTCTGCAGCGTATCTTATTAGAGAAGTAAAAAGAAATCCGATGTTCTGCTTTTTTAAATTATATCTTTATATAATTTGAGTATCATTGTGTGGACTATGAATCCTGTTTCATTCCTCTTTAAGGAAGGATAGGATCCATCCCATACTTACTGAAATCAATAGGCTAGACACTAGTTTGTTGTCAGTTTCTAACTGGTTGACTTAACATCCTACTATCTTCATTGTCTTTCCCATGAAATGTCTGAGTTGTGGAGAATTGACATTTCTATAATTACCAGAAAATTCTAGAGTTCAATTGCTAATATGATCTTTTTTTATGACCTTACAAAACAAATGTCTGAGCATATTTCCTTAAGGATAATACCTTGGTGCGTGCTCAGCTAAGGCGGGGTCATTGTTTAGTAGAGACCATAGAAAATAAAACAAAAGTGAAACTGTGGGGCCTTTGTTAAAAACCATGTGACGAAAACTGAGTTGGAGAAGTCAGCTATGGTCTGACTATAAAGCATATTTGACATATTAGGCAGAGGGTAGATCACTGGAAACATCACGTTTGAATAGGGGAATATATGAAGTTTTAAAGCGTTCAGCAGAGAAAAGCAAGATTGAAAACAGGACTATTAGCCATGAAGTTCTTTGAAGAGTCTAGGATCTGGTAGTAACAGTGTCTGATACTGGGTTCAGAAAACCCAATGAACTCCTGCTTAGAGCATTTTTCTTAGTGTAATTATCTTTAGTTTCATTAGGAATGGCAAATGGTGGTAACCAGAAGAACATTTTCTCTCTCAAAGAAAATCAGATCAACAAAGAATGCAAGAGAACCCAGCTAGACTGTTTGGACCAAGGATTAGAGGAGGATTGCTTGCTATCACCTTTGGCAGTTTCAACTCCTACAGACATCCAGGAAGCTGGACATTCTGCTCGGTCTCCCCAGATTTCAGGCTGCCAGAGTTTGGAAACAACATCTTTGACTATGATGCCTTTGCCCCAGCCTGGTGTCCTGATGGGCACTGGAGAGAGTAAAGCCCCCCTGGCTCCTTCCTTTACCCAGTTCTTGGAAGGTCCTTGTTTGCTGGACCAAAGAGAGGCCAAGACGAAAAGGGAAGGGCTTTGTGGATCTAAGGCAGACTGTGCAGGCATGGGAAGCCATGTCAAATCACCTGGAGGTAAATGCCATCAGCCCTTGGACAAAACCAAAGTGGGGAGAGGGGGCCCTGCCAAGGAAAACAGGCAGGCCCCTGTGCATCTTCAGACCTACAGGCTTGGATCCTGCAGTAGGAAAAAACCACTATTGGTGACAAAAAGCCCTTGTCCTCTTTCTGTATTTTCCTGGGACAGTGAAAGGAGTGACAGGGACTCCTGGAGTCAGCTTTTCACCAAGGATTCCCAAGGCCAGCAAGTCATTGCCCACAACACTAAAATGCCTTTCCAAGATGTAAGCAATGCTAGGAAGCAAGGCTCAAGGCAGTTTCCTGACAGCCCTCAGGCTCAGGGCCAAGATGGGCCTTCTCAGTTGCCTCTGCAGTCACATCTGCTCTTTACCCAGGACTCCGAAGGTAATCGGGTTATGAGACACTAGTTCTAGAGTTTATGTGAGTGGATCTGGAAGTGGCAGAGATGGCGGGGAAGTAGGGCGGGGCTAGGGAGAGAGGGTTTAGGTGAAAGGCCAGGTGGGATGAAGCAGCTGTGCATGGAACATTCTCCGTATGTAAATAAAGCAGGCAGTGTGTGGTGGGCATGCTTTCCACTCAGGAAGGTGACTGGTGCATTCCACGGGTGGACGTGATGAGGCCTGAGCCGGCTGGACAGGACTAACCACGGAAACAGCTCAATTCACAATGCTGCTCCTCTGCCCTTCTAGGGGCCTGGTGGTTTTTGCATCTTACAGATATGTGCTCTTTTCATCTCTGGATCATTCGAGCATAAGCTTGGGACCATTATTCCCAACTACAGTTGAAGAGAAGCCTACCTCCCTAGCCCAGGCGTGTGGAGCTGGGGTGGGGTGTGGGGAGGGCATATGGCAGACGATCACCTGCACCCCGCTTCCCCAGGCAGGGTTTTTCTGTATAGCTCTGGATGGCCTTGAACTCACAGAGATCTACTTGCTTCTCTCTGCCTCCCAAGTGCCAGGATAAGCCACCCATAGGTCATCTTTTTGTTGGTGTTAACTATACATTGTATGCTTGGAGCTGGAGAGATGGCTCAGATGTTAAGAGCACTTGCTGCTCTCAGAGAATCCAGGTTCATGTGCTAGCACCCACGTGTCAGTTCACAACTGCCTACTTTCTCTAGTTTTATGGGATCTCACCTCTACAGGTACCAGACACGTGGTGCATACAGACATGTAGGCAAACACTCATACATATGAAATAAAATTAATTTCTTAAAGTTATTTGCTTTATCTTTTCATACCCAGAGCTCAACTATCTCTCTTCCATGAGGGAAGAAGTAAGTTCCCTTTGCAGAACTGACTCTAGGTTAACATCTGGAAAGCTGGCTCTGGCGGTAATTAAAACATTTATCAGAGATACACAGTTGAGTACTGGACCAGCCTGAGCTAGAATGGCATTTTGCTCAAAAAGAGATGGCAACTTTATGAAATGTGAGTACAGGTACATGTGCCGTCAAGAGGGCAGCTTCCAGGAGCTCTCTCTGCTATGTGGATTCTGGACTCAGGGCACCAGGCTGAGTGGCAAACACCCACTGAGTCATCTTGCCAGCCCAAGTCAACTTTTTAGTAAGTGGTGTCACTGCCCTGAATTCCACCAATCATAACTTGTGTGATTTTGCCTGTATTCTATCCAAAGCACCACTGTTCATGTGGCACTGTGTGTGGCAGTTGATGCAAACCACAATAAGTTACCAAATGGAATTGCTTCTACAAGTTTTGGAAATTTTTCTATGGAAAGGACAAAATCCCTTCAAGTAAGATTTACAGGTGTTTTGTCAAAATATATGTGTATCTCATGTGTGTGCCTGGTATCAACAAGGCCAGAAGAGTGTGTCAGATCCTTGGGACTGGAGGAACAAACAGTTGTTGACAGCCATGTAGGTGCTGGGAATCAAACTTGTGTCTCCTCTGGAAGAGCAGCTGGTGATCTTGACTTCTGGGTCATTTCTCCAGCCCTAGGAAGTTTCTCTTAAGGTTCTCAACTTGTGGGTTTGGCCTCTTGAGGTTGCACAGCAGGTATTTACAACTCATAACGGTAGCAAATTTAGTTATAAAGTAATAACAAAATAATTTTATGGTTGTGGGGACTGGGGTCACTATAGCATGAGAACCTGTATTAAAGGGTTATAGTGAGAACCACTGTCCTGAGGGCAAGAAAGGAAGTCAGGAGCCTGTTTTTAAAAGCTCATATATACCTTAAAATCAACAGGAGCCCTCTTTTCACCAGAGGCTACTGTGGTCAAAACTCAGAGATGAACAAAGAAAAAAATGCACCATTTCTCCAAATCCTTCATTTAATATCAGGTAATGCTTCAACTCAAACACACAGTATTCATACCATAGAGAAAAGGGCCCTGAGGGCACCTGAGTCATGCATGATGCAGTAAATAAAATCTTGGCCCAACCTAGAGAAATCAGTCATTGTCCTAGAAGAAGGATGGTGTGTTCTTTTTCTCCCCTCATTTCTCCTTCCTAGATGGACTTAGTAAGTCCATGGAAGAAAAAAATTTCAATCCGTGGAACTAAGGAGGCCCTGGAGGGTAGATCAGGTTGTAGTTTTATAAAATATATTTAAGAAAAAAAAGGCCAGGCCTCCCTGCAGCAGCCCAGATGTTGGCTGGTCCAGTGGCCTGACCTCTGTAGCTAGAGGGAAAGGGAGGTGACTGCTGGGCACTGGTGCAGGTCTATGATGAAGAAGCACAAGTCCTTCCTGTGAACATAAACATAAGCAGCGGCTCCCCGTTAGCCCATGGTGCTGCAGGGAAGCTGCTGAGAGTGACAGCTGTGCACAGCGTGTCCAGTGAGACCAATTATGGAGGCTAATGCAGTGAGTTAATTAAGTCGTTCATTGAGGGCTTAGTTTTCAGAGACAAGAAAAAACAATCTTCACCCCTTAGCAGAGATATTCCACTCTACCCAATTATCTGTAACAAATGCCTCATCACAAAAAAACTATAGACCTTAGCTTCTGCCAAGGTTTAAGTGCAGGTAACACATAATCCAGCTCCTCTCTTCCAGCCCAAGCCCCAGTCAGCAAGACTGTTGCAGATCTCTGAGACAGACATCTGCGGTGAGGAAGGCAGCTATTGAAGGAGTTCAGGAGCAAGAGACTGAGCTTGCAGTCAGTGCTGTCAGTTTCCTTTTCTACTAATGTCTTCTTCCTTCAGGGCAAACTTCCTCCTAAGGACCTCAGAGATAAGGACAGCAGGGTCTTCTTCCTTCAGTAAACTCCTGCTCCTGGAAACACAAGAACTTGTATTTAGGGAGCACTTGCTGTGTTCTGGGTCACAGTGTATGTGCACTCTTTGCATCCTGAATCTTCACAGCAGTTCTGTGAAGCACTTGCCATTGCATGTTCCCACACCTATAGAAGATTCAGCATGCAGACCTAGAGTTACAGTCAGTGTTTGGCCTTTAAAACCAAGCTATCTGATCTGGAGCCCATCTCTTAACTAGAATGCCTATACTTCTTACACAGCTATAGAATATGGGTAAAATGAAGGCCTATCAATTAGTTGGAGTTCTGATTTTATCTCAAGAGGGTCTGCGGTAGGTGATGGCTCAGGCATTCTGAGTTTATTCTGCCACCATCTTCCCTTAAGTAAGCTGTTTTGGTTGTGGGCCTCCCCCTGCTCCCTTTAAAAGATCAAAATCATAGCAAAACATCTGCATTCTAAGGAATTGTGGGAACAAACTGAGCTCTAGGGTAGGCACACATTTATCATAGAAGAGCATCCTGGATGCTCTGGAAATAGTTGTCTGAAGCTGTTAACTTCTTCACTTGTCTCCTGAAGGTGTTTTACAAGTCTTTGAAGAAATACATGAAGGTCAAAGATTGACTTCAAATCTGAAAGTAAAACAAGGATTGTCTTTGGTCTATCACATTATCTCAACTTTTGATGACCTGGCTAACTGAACTATTCTTACTTCCATTAGAGAAAAAGATGCCAGGACACGTGGGACAGGTTTGGCAATGGTTTTGGATATAATTTGGTCTAAGAAGCCAAATACTAGAAACTGAGCTGGTGACAAATGTCTCTATTTCTAGCACTCAGGAAGCAGAGGCTGAAGGGCCACAAGTTCAAGACCAGCTTGAGCTACACAGATAAACAAGAGGCATGTTTTAGAATACTGACTAGAAGAAAAGGGGATCAGGGCCAACCAAAATGAGGTGAGGCAGCAGCTGAATTTGGGTGAGTAAGAGATCAAAGAACCTTTATGTGCCAGATAGATTGGAGTGGCAAGTTTCTTGCCCAGCACTAACAAGGACAGCTATACTGGGCACCCACCACCAAGTCTGATCCAACTAAGGTGCCCAAGAACAAGGTCCTCTGTAGAGTCACTCAGAGTACATCTGGAGTAGCTGCAAAGGACAGGCTCCTCGGGCATTTCTAGAGCTTGTCTACCAGGAAGCTTCTCAGGGGGCTTAAAGAATGGCCTTGCTTCAAACTCCAGACCTGCTCAAATTCCCTTAGACTTAAGCAAAGTCAACCACAGCTTCATTCTCTGGGTATTCTGCTTTGATGAGTTTAATGTGTATAAATTTGGGCTGGGTGTAGTGGCTCATGCCTCTGATCCCAGCACTTGGGAGGTAGAAGCAAGCAGAACTCTCAAAATTCAAGGCTAGCCTGATCTACAAAGTGAGTCCCAGGCCACCCACGGCTTTACAGTGAGACCTTGTCTCAAAAAAGAAAAAAAAAATTCAATACCCTAAAATCTGAGCTGTTTTGATGAGCAGCCAGATTTATATGATTTTTTAATATATATTATATATGAAGGCACGAGGTAGTGATGAATGCCTTTAATCCCAGTACTCAGGTGCAGAGGCAGGCTGGTCTACAGAGGGGTTCCAGGACAGCCAGGGCTGCACAGAGAAACCCTGTTTTGAAAAACCAAAAACAAAGATTGTTTCTCCAGTCCCTGAACTTGAGGGTTTTACATTACAGAGTAATATATCTATATCTATCTATCTAGAGAGCAAGTGTCTGCAGAGAGAAGCCAGAGGTGTAAGATCCCCTGAGCTGGTGTTACAGATAGTTATCGTACTGTGGGTATTGGGAAACTTGGGTCCTTTGCTCTTAACCACTGAACCATTTCACTATTTTATTTAACAATAAAACCTCTGTTATGAAATTCTCCTTCCACCAAAGTCTACTAGTTTGAGACACTAGTATGACCTACAAACCTCATTTTGAAGGACAGAGCATGGGAGAACATGTTAGCTAGCAGTATGTAAACTAAGAAGCTACTGAATCTTTTTAAAACCAAAGCATTGGTGTTTTGTCTGTCTGTATGTCCAGAGTGACAGCCAGCTCTGAGTTCCCATGGGGAGCTGGGAACTGAGCAGCTGAGCTCTCTCCGCTCCATAGCTGCAGTCTTAACACTTTACTGAGGCAACTTAATAGAACAAATGCAAAATGTTGCTTTTTCCTCAAAACTAAGTCCTAGTCAGTCAACAAGCTTTGTGAATGCAGCATCATGAGCCAGGAGTGACTAAGAGATTACCAGAGCTCCTGTCAGATACTCACAGGTCTTGGCTCTGTTTTATCCGATGAAAATCCTTCAGGATGCCCATCATGTCCGCAAAGCTGCTGGCCTTGGACAGAGAGATGCAGTCATCCTCTTCAGATGAGCTGCAG